ATAAAATAAGTAGAACATTCTACAAGCACCCGCCCACTCGTGGAAAATCAGTACATAAAACGACACAATAATTCAATACAATTATTTCAATGTTATCAGTTATAATGCAACATTTTAACATTTCTATTTTGTACGGGTGTAAACTTCACAACCCTTGGAAAGGCGTACATGTAATTCCTCGCAGAAATAGAAGGTGTAAACCACATTCTTAAATTGCTGTGGATGGGAATAATTTTTAGATTGCAGCTGCGACAAAGGAATGATTGGTCCGATGCAAATGTGTCAAGAGAAGGAATTTTCTAGAGACTTTTAATTACATGGCACAATTGTAGTCAATATTTAAAACAAAGAGGCAATGTAACAAACAAACAAAATACTATAATATGAATTGCAAGGCGGGTTACTGCTGTGTCCTATATATCTTCTTCTATAATTTCCTTTAACATTAATTAAAGTGCTTTGCGTTATTAAGAATCGTCCACAGCAAAATGGTCGTGATAATTAAAGCGTTTTTCCGGTTTGACCGCCGGCTTTTTTTTCGTACCGCCAATCGCAAAGTAGTGAACCGCCATATTGTCTTCTTAGTTTTTAATTTTCATGAAACGAAAAAGGAACAAACCTAAGTAGAGATGATATTAATGACACTGAAGCAGTTCTACTTTTAGTTCTTATGTAGACCTGATGAGGCCCACTGAAGACATCGACATTTTCCACGTGAAAACTGTGCCGTCATACTTTACAAACCGAACGTCATAATCTATTTCCACTGTAGACAGGAACACATTCTACTTTGATGGGTGCGGAACGAGTCATTCTGGCCCATGTAATGGCCCGTTTACTCACGGAAGGCGACTTTTCGTGCAATTTTTAATGAGATTTGGAGGTCATTTTACACTGAGCGAATTATTGCGAATTCTTAACCGGGGAGCTTTTAAGAACAGGAAGTTTCTGAGTCGTATCCGCGAGGTTTACGTCAGTAAAAGAAGCTAAAAGACACTGATACATATTGTTTGATATAAAAAGAAGACAATTATTTTCCGAAAAAAACAAAACGAGTCTGCACTAACTGAAAATCTTTGCCCAAGACTGAGTATGAAAAGTCAAAGAAAACCACTGAGTTCTAATCTCAAAGCGTCCTCCCATCGCTAATTTCAAACCCAGAATTAGAAAAGGGCTTCTTATCTTACTTCTTCTATCTACGTACCTCCCCAGCCCCCCACGGGGGGAAAATATGAAATGGTTTATATATCACAATTTTTCTTTTCACTTTTCACTCTTATAGCGCTCCGACATCAGCCCATGTTCCGCTGTGAGTGAACATTTATAAAGACATGCAGTGACACGATTACTCTTGTGATTTGAAAGTACAATCATCATCGAATAGCTTCGAATGGCTTCTGCGACACAAAATAAAGGGTAGATAAGGTTCAAATAGGCGATTTCTTTTTACCGACGCACAATAATACCAGAACTTGAAAGGTCAGCTTAACTTTCTCCTGCGTTCAACCGTTGGATCGTTAACAATCGTGGCGAGAGACAGCCAAGATATATTTCTAAGCGTTGACGGCATTTGTAAAGTACGTGTTAACTTTTGACATGGTTTAAACAGAATTCTCAGTGTGCGGGTATTCATTGTTGAAATGTCTTTACGTAGTTCGAAATTACAAGTCACAAAAATTAATGTACACACCTCAAATTATATTCACTTATTCTTAACTAATCTATAAATTCCTTCTTGAGGTCAAAATAGCTTAAGAATATACTAGTTCAATTTAAGGAAGCCCATATTTGTAGACCTTATAAAGAGGACTTTCATTTCGAACAACACTAATTGCAGCCTACTTTTCAAGCACCGAAATTATGCAAATAATGTCATTAAACTCGACAATGTTCTACATATAACATATATACATACTCGGGCATACATGCACATTTAAGAATTACATGAAATGTTACTCTATGAAAGCAGCGGTTTGATTCAGTGTCAAATGTTAAGTGTTGTTTTGACTGGATAGCTTTATCGAATTCAAATGTGGACGGGCGGAATCTGATTTTTTACCAAACAATAGTGATTCATGAGAATAAATAAAGGCAAACCAACAATGCCGCCAGTACCCCAACCGCGCAACACTTAGAAAACACTTTTAACTCAATCGCGCGTAGAAGAGGGTCAAATGGCGCGTTAGTTTCTCTATAATAGAGGAACCCGTGGAAGAAATAAGGCCACTGAAGAAGAAGAAGAAAAAGAAAACCTGGTACAATTGATCTTGAACTACTTTCCACACTCAAAGATGATAAATTGGAAGAAATGTCACAAGGCCCATTAAACCGCACATAATATACATAATACACAGAAGAGACACCTTATTTTAAAAGGTAGAATTGCGAGATATCAATTGCTTCATGTAATTCCAAAACGCCTGCTTCTAAAAGAGCAACGGATTATCTCTGTCAGTCTGTGCCCCTACTTACCGCTGACATGATAATATAATTGACCTTGCGCCCTGACTCGCTTCCGCGGTTCAACGATATACCACGAAATGAGGTTTGAACCCATCGACACCGAAAAATGGAAAAAGACGAAAAGCGAACGGACACGAATGGACTCTTTCCGTTCAGGTTTGCTTGTTCCGGATGAAATGTATACCAATGAATTCTCTGGAGCGATCTAGCATCCACTCAGAATGAACCAAGAGAAAATTCTCTAACAAAGAAATGTCGCCCCCAAACGACAGAATACTATACCTGGCCTTGCACTGTGTTACTGTATAGGTGTAGCTCTGAGTTTGTTATCAGACAAATCGCACATTTCTTTCATTTGATTTTTTTATTGAGGCAATATACTATGGTGTAATACAACAAAGCGACTACGAAGCTACTTTTGCGATTAGCTGGTAAAAAAGGAAAAAAAATTCGAGTTCATCGGCTTAATGGCTTTTCACAGTGTATAAATTAAACTGTTGATTAACACTAGAATAACAGCAATACAAGAGAGATGTACAAACATATGCAGAAGAAGGAAAACGAAATGGAAGAAACCTCGACTAAAGCGGGCAAAGTGAACAAAAGAACCTCAATGAAAGGTGGCTAATGACGAGACTCTTGGCAAACGAGCATATTATTCTTCTTGTGACAATCGTCTTTAGTTAAAGATTTTTTTAAAAAAAAGATGTTAACGTTTCGAAACCCCATTAAAATTATTCAGTATTTATTAACTTGACATGTCATGCAGTGCACGATCATCATGCTGTTGGCGTGAATTCACAATGGGAAAAGCGTATTCCTAAATTTCGCTCAATTTTATATGTTTTAGTATCCGAAGGTACAAATTATTACAGGAAAATTTCAAGAAAGGGAGAAAAAAGTCACAAACCTGCGACCCAGTTGATCCATGAA